GAGACCACACCCGCGCTGCTGCTGCTCATAGAGGCCACCGACCGGCCGGCCAACGCCAGCCGCCGCCGAGCAGCACGCGTCTCCGTGCGCGTCTTTGTCACAGATGAAAATGACAACTCGCCGGTCTTCACCTCCCCCTCACGAGTGCGTCTCCCGGAGGATCAGCCGCCTGGACCCGTGGCGCTGCACCTGGTAGCGAGGGATCCAGACCTGGGGGAGGCCGCTCGCGTGTCCTATCGCCTGGCAGCTGGTGGGGACGGCCACTTCCGACTTCACTCAAGTACTGGTGAGAGTTGATCTTGTGGGTGAGGTCGAGGAGGATGCAGGTGTGGAGGGATCCTGGCGGTCGCCACCAACCTGCCGTACTGCTTCCCTAGGCGCCCTGTCCGTGGTGCGGCCCCTCGACCGGGAACAGAGAGCTGAGCACGTCCTGACCGTGGTGGCCGCAGACCATGGCTCCCCGCCGCGGTCGTCCACTCAGCTCTTGACGGTCAGTGTCGTTGACGTCAACGACGAGGCACCCACTTTCCAGCAGCAGGAGTACAGCGTCCTCTTGCGGGAGAACAGCCCTCCTGGCACATCTCTACTTACTCTGAGAGCAACCGATCCTGACCTGGGTAAGACCTGGGAGGATGAATTGTAAGATGGATGGACTGGGGGAATGAAGCATCTATTTGACGTCTGTTCACCCTCCATGCTGTCCCTCCTCAGGGCCCAATGGGCAAGTGACTTATGGAGGCGTCTCTGGTGAGAATTTCTCTCTGGACCCGAACACTGGAGTTCTTACTACCCTTCGGGCCCTGGATCGTGAGGAGCAGGAGGAGATCAACTTGACAGGTACTCTGTCACGGCCCCAAAAGCCACCAGTGTTATGAACATAAGCAGAAACCCCAAAGTACTATCTTCCAGAAGTTTTCCACCTTTTATATCACAACTTATTATATTTGTGGGCCTTAAAGAGTTAGGCAGCATGTACTGACTTGTAGGCTGTCATCATTGAGCACACAAATTTTCAAATCTATATTGTCACAGCTGTGCCTTCTAGGCCTAGTTTATATTATTATACTGTGGCCATTTGATAGAGGAGCATACTGATATTGAGTATCAGAGAGATCGAGTAGTTTGCAGAAGTAACACAGTTTGGAAGTGGCAGGTCTGGGACTTGAGCCTAGATCTTTTGATACCTCAGTTAATGTCTTCTGTCATACCACCATTAATCCAAGATACATTTTGTATGTACCAAGCATAGCAGATAGGAAGGAAAAGAATAACTTTTGACACTTGTTATTATGCAAATACATGTGTGTGCCTGGGGTATGTAGAGAGAGATTTTCCAGCTTCTGTGTATCTGGTGAACATGTATGAGCACTGTGTGGTACAGTTTCCTCCATGGGATGGAGGCAAGCTAGATCTCATTGATTTTGTTTTCCCACAGTGTATGCCCGGGACAGGGGCTCACCTCCCCTGTTAACTCATGTCATGGTGCGAGTGGCTGTAGAGGATGAGAATGATCATACTCCAACCTTTGGGAATGCCCACCTCTCCCTGGAAGTACCTGAGGGCCAGGACCCTCAGACCCTTACCACACTTCGGGCCTCTGACCCAGATGTGGGAGCCAATGGGCAGCTGCAGTACCGAATTGTGGGTGAGAACTTACCCTTACCCATTAACCCAGCACCCACCTCCCTGGTCTTGCTCCTTTTGGCTGCTGTCAGTTTTAGTCAATGTGTCTTGGCCTCCTTTCTCTTTTTATGTTTTCCACTTTTTTTTCATGTATATATCAGTGTAACTGACTATTTCTTTTTGTGCCTCTCTGTTTTTATCTTGCTGTGTTTCCCTTCCCGTAGAGCAGTGGTTTTCCTTAATATTCCTATTTTTTAAGAACTCTAGAGAATTTTTATGTGGATTATATCAATATACAGTGTTCCATATTAAAACTTAGAAAAATCTCAAATATCATTGAGAAGCAAGCCACGGAAGTATACTGCTTGCTGTATTTTGCAAAGACACAAGAAATTGTTAGGGTTTCAAATAACAATTTGTTAGACAATCTTGAGGTTGCAGAGATTATAGGTGTAAATGGAGGTAGCCAGTATACTGTCTGAAAATTATATTCATGCTGTAAACTTTCTATCAAGAATATTCTAGAAAATAAAGAATACTTAAACACACATTTCATTAACCACGTGATGGTGTCATCACATCATGTAGCACTGTAAACTGCACTATATATTTGTGAGACTATAAGAATGATAAAAAGCATATAAGGCCGATGAAAAGAGTTTAACCATGTGTATATGAGAGTCTCAGAGGACTTACAGGTATTCCCAGACTGAGTAATAACAATTGCTTTATAGTATGTTTTTTTTTTAAGTTCTTTTGCTTTTTAAATAGTAGGAAAAATTTACTGAGAGAAAGAAAGCTTTTATTTAAGAAAGACAGAAGGGGGACCAGAAGGTGGGTTGCCCGCTCACCCTAATTTTCAAAGATGTTTTATACTGCTAAGCCATGTGGTAAGGTTGGTACAGAGTGGGACAAACTGTAAGATCCAATGGAAAATTACAAGGTGGGCATGAGGTGGGAAAAATAGGGAATGCTTCATGAATTTGAGTGTTATCCTTGTTCAGGGGCCATGCTAATCTCTCTGTATCATTCCAATTTTAGTATATATGCTGCTGAAGCGAGCACAACCTTCTTTGTTTCTCTGTTTTCCTCTTTGTCTATTTCTGTCTTCCCTTTACTTTCTCCCAGCCCCCTTCCATTCTCTTTCTACTGTTGCCTATATATCACCTGATCCTCGTGGGCTGACACATGTGTTTATGTGCACCTACCCTTCTCTGCAGATGGGGACCTGTTAGGAGCCTTTGTCCTAGATCTTGACTCTGGGGAGTTTGGTACCAGACGGCCACTAGACCGAGAGGTGGAGCCAGCATTCCAGCTGCAGATAGAGGCCCGGGATGGAGGGCAGCCAGCTCTCAGTGCCACTCTACTTGTGACAGTGACAGTTCTGGATGCCAATGACCATGCCCCAGCCTTTCCTGTGCCTGCCTATTCAGTGGAAGTGCCCGAGGATGCACCTGCAGGGACCCTGCTGATGCAGCTGCAGGCTCATGACCCGGATGCTGGGGCCAATGGCCATGTGACCTACTATCTGGGTGCAGGTACAGCAGGAGCCTTCCTGCTGGAGCCTACCTCTGGGGAGCTGCGCACAGCCACAGCACTGGACAGAGAACACTGTTCCAGTTACGCCTTTTCTGTGAGCGCCGTGGATGGTGCAGCTGCTGGACCCCTGAGCACCACGGTGCCTGTCACCATCACAGTGCGTGATGTCAATGACCATGCACCCACTTTCCCCACCAGTCCTCTGCACCTGCGCTTACCCCGCCCAGGCCCCAGCCTCAGTACCCCAACTCTGGCTCTGGCCACACTGCGAGCTGAAGATCGTGATGCTGGTGCCAATGCCTCCATTTTGTACCGGCTGGCTGGCACACCACCTCCTGGCACCACTGTGGACTCTTACACTGGTGAAATCCGTGTGGCCCGTTCTCCTGTAACTCTAGGTCCCCGGGATCGTGTCCTCTTCATTGTGGCTACCGACCTTGGCCGTCCAGCTCGCTCTGCCACGGGTGTGGTCATTGTTGGTCTTCAGGGGGAGTCTGAGCGTGGACCCCGCTTTCCCCGGGCTAGTAGTGAGGCTGTGCTTCGTGAGAATGCACCCCCAGGTGGGTCTCTAGCCATGTGTCCCGGATGTATATCCCTGGGTAGGCTGGAGATACTTATTGTAAATGGTCCTCAAATTCCTGTAGTGCTCACAATCCAAATACTGTCCTCTCTACAGGGACTGCTGTCATCTCCCCTAAAGCTGTTCATGCTGGGAGCTCAAGTGGACCGATCACCTACAGCATCCTCAGTGGGAATGAGAAGGGGATATTCTCCATCCAGCCTAGTACCGGTAAAGAATGGGAGCAGGGGCTCTGAGGGGATGGGCTCCTGGGGAAGCAGGTTCTTCAGGCCAGAGTTGATGTGGCAAGGGTTGCCTTTGAGTAAAGGGCCTCAGAGGGAGGCTCCAGGGTAAGGAAGAGGGCTGTCACTGATGCACTCTGCCTCCCAACAGGAGCCATCACAGTTCGTTCAGCAGAGGGCCTGGACTTTGAGACAAGCCCGCGGCTGCGACTGGTGCTGCAGGCAGAGAGTGGAGGAGCCTTTGCCTTTTCCGTGCTGACCCTTACCCTGCAAGATACCAATGACAACGCCCCCCGTTTCCTGCAGCCCCACTATGTGGCTTTCCTGCCAGAGTCTCGGCCATTGGAGGGACCCCTGCTGCAGGTGTGGGGCATGATGGAAAGAGGGGGGCAAGACTTGTTTGTGGGTCACTCTGGTACCAGCTACCTCCTACACTCACCAGGTGGAGGCAGATGACCTGGATCAAGGCTCTGGAGGACAGATATCCTACAGTCTGACTGCATCCCAGCTGGCACGGGGCTTATTCCATGTAGACCCAGCCACTGGCACTATCACTACCACAGCCATCCTGGATCGTGAGATCTGGGCTGAAACACGGTGAGACCCAGCCCCCATGACCCCAAGATCCCATCCTATTTATTCTATTTATTTTCAAGCCCTGCATTGCATCTCCCTCAGCCCCTAGCCACACGCTGAAATCCTCTAGAGCCCAACTCTATCCTAAGTCCTCCTAGCCGTTCCCAGGGTTTCCTCTTATCCCCAGGTCCTGCCTCCTGATTGTGCTTTATGTCCAGGCTTGTGCTGATAGCCACAGACAGAGGAAGCCCAGCCCTGGTGGGCTCAGCTACCCTTACCGTGATGGTCATTGATACCAATGACAATCGTCCCACCATCCCGCAGCCCTGGGAGCTCCGAGTGTCAGAAGGTGAGGGGTGGGGAAAATTAAAGGTATCAAAGGTGGCCAAGAGGCACTGGTACCCACCCTAGAGCTTCAGGGGTGCCTGGAACACTGCCGAACATACTTGTCTTGTGTATTGCAGATGCACTATTGGGCTCAGAGATTGCGCAGGTAACAGGGAATGATGTGGACTCCGGACCAGTGCTGTGGTATGTGCTGAGCCCATCTGGGCCCCAGGATCCCTTTAGTATTGGCCGTTATGGAGGCCGTGTCTCCCTCACGGGCCCCTTGGACTTTGAGCAGTGTGATCACTACCACCTGCAGCTACTGGCACATGATGGACCTCACGAGGGCCATGCCAACCTCACGGTGCTGGTGGAAGATGTCAATGACAATGCACCTACCTTCTCACAGAGCCTCTACCAGGTACCAGCTCCCCTGGATGTCCCCACATCTGGGCTCTGGGTTGTACTGTTAGAGGGATGTGACAGAGCCAGAGTGGCTGGGGTGGACTGCATGTTAAAAAGTTGATTTGGGGCTGGAGGTTTAGCACAGAGGCATGGTGCCTGCCTGGCAAGCTTCAGGTCCTGAGTTTGATCACCAGTACCAAAGGAAAAAAAAAAAGTTGATCTGGATAAAAGAGTGTCCTATCTCAGACTAGCATTCCCATGCTGCATCCTTTGGCCAGCAAGTGGAGAAGGTGGGCAGTTGTCATTTAAATAGAGAACAAATGGGCCCAGGGATTTAGCTCAGTGGTTCCATGGCCTGCCTTGCAAGCACAAGGACCCGAGTTCAATCCCCGGTACCAAAAAAATAAATAGAGAACAAAGAAGAATGGGCTCCATGCTGAAATGGGTACCAAGTAGGGTTCATGGGGCCCAGCTCCAGCACACGGGTAGAGGCACCAGCAGGGTATCTGGGAAACCTGACCATGGACACTTTTCCTCACACCTTAGGTAATGCTGCTTGAACACACCCCCCCAGGCAGTGCCATTCTCTCCATTTCTGCCACTGACCGGGACTCAGGTGCCAACGGTCACATCTCCTACCATCTAGCTTCCCCTGCTGAGGGCTTCAGTGTTGACCCAAACAATGGTAGGTCTTCTTCAGAATCTGACCCCTTTTATCTCTGACCATATTGGGCCATATTTGGTCCTAATTCCTAGAATTTGTTACCTAAAATAGTCTTCTGGATCTCTGACCCAGGGAGGACATTTCGCACTTGTCTTTAATATAGTAAGCCCTTTTCTGACTGCTTGTCTAAAAGCTGTTTCCTGAATTTGAATCCTTGACGCCATCCCATTCTCTCCCAGCACATGGGCCATTTCCCAGAATCTGACTTCCTGAGCGCTTGCCTAGACCCTAAGAGTTAATTCTACTGACACAATAGCACGTCTGAATGTGTGTTTCTTTCTCTTTCTTTTTCAAATCAGGAACTTTGTTCACAACTATGGGAACCGTGGCCTTGGGCCGTGAGGGGCCAGGAGTGGTGGACGTGGTGCTGGAAGCACGGGACCATGGGGCTCCTGGCAGGGCAGCACGGGCCACAGTGCATGTGCAGCTGCAGGACCAGAATGACCACGCCCCAAGCTTCACACTGCCACACTACCGTGTGGCTGTGAGTGAAGATCTGCCCCCGGGCTCCACCCTGCTCACCCTGGAGGCCACAGATGCTGATGGAAGCCGCATTCATGCCACTGTGGACTACAGCATCATCAGTGGCAACCGTGGCCGAGTCTTTCAGCTAGAACCCCGGCTGGCTGAGGCTGGAGAGGGTGTTGGACCAGGTCCCCAGACACTGGGCTGCCTGGTGTTGCTTGAGCCTCTAGATTTTGAAAGCCTGACACAATATAATCTGACAGTGGCTGCAGTTGACCGGGGCCAGCCACCCCGTAGTTCAGCTGTGCCAGTCACTGTCACTGTACTGGATGTCAATGACAACCCACCTGTCTTTACCCAAGCATCCTACCGTGTGACAGTACCTGAGGACATGCCAGTTGGAGCTGAGCTGCTGCACGTGGAGGCCTCCGATGCTGACCCTGGCCCTCACGGCCTTGTGCGTTTTGCCCTTAGCTCAGGCGACCCTCTGGGGCTCTTTCAGCTGGATGAGAGCTCAGGTGCCTTGCAACTGGCCCGCCCCCTGGACTGTGAGACTCAAGCTAGACACCAACTAGTCGTGCAGGCTGCTGATCCTGCTGGGACACATTTTGCTTTGGCTCCAGTGACAGTTGAGGTCCAGGATGTGAATGACCATGGTCCAGCCTTCCCACTGAACTTGCTCAGTACCAGCCTGGCCGAGAACCAGCCACCAGGAACTCTTGTGACCACTCTGCATGCAATTGATGGGGATGCTGGGACTTTTGGGAGGCTCCGCTACAGCCTCTTGGAGGCTGGACCAGGGCTTGAGGGTCGTGAGGCATTTGCACTGAACAGCTCAACAGGGGAGTTGCGGGCACGAGTGCCCTTTGACTATGAGCACACAGGAAGTTTCCGGCTGCTGGTGGGTGCTGCTGATGCTGGGAATCTCTCAGCCTCTGTCACTGTGTCAGTACTGGTGACTGGAGAGGATGAGTATGACCCTGTATTTCTGGCTCCAGCTTTCCACTTCCAAGTACCAGAAGGTGCCCAGCGTGGCCATAGCCTGGGTCATGTGCAGGCCACAGATGAGGACAGAGGTGCCGATGGCCTGGTGCTCTATTCCTTTGCCACATCTTCCCCTTACTTTGGTATCAACCAGACTACAGGTGCCCTATACCTGCGGGTGGACAGTCGGGCACCAGGCAGCGGAACAACTGCTTCTGGGGGTGGGGGCCGGACCCGGCGTGAAGCACCACGGGAGCTGAGGCTGGAGGTAGTAGCTCGGGGGCCTCTGCCTGGTTCCCGAAGTGCCACAGTGCCTGTGACTGTAGATATCACCCACACTGCACTGGGCCTGGCACCTGACCTCAACCTGCTGTTAGTGGGGGCCGTGGCAGCCTCCTTGGGAGTTGTAGTGGTGCTTGCACTAGCAGCCCTGGTCCTAGGGCTGGTTCGAGCTCGTAACCGCAAGACTGAGGCAGCCCCCGGCCCAATGTCACAGGCAGCACCCCTAGCCAGTGGCTCCCTGCAGAAGCTGGGCCGGGAGCCACCTAGTCCACCACCTTCAGAGCATTTGTACCACCAGACTCTCCCCAGCTATGGTGGGCCAGGAGCTGGAGGACCCTACCCCCGTGGTGGCTCCCTGGACCCATCACACTCAAGTGGCCGAGGCTCAGCAGAGGCTGCAGAGGATGATGAGATTCGCATGATCAACGAGTTCCCCCGTGTGGCCAGCGTGGCCTCCTCCCTGGCTGCCCGTGGCCCCGACTCGGGCATCCAGCAGGATGCAGATGGACTGAGTGACACATCCTGTGAGCCACCTGCCCCTGACACTTGGTATAAGGGCCGAAAGGCAGGGCTGCTGCTGCCAGGTGCAGGAACCACTCTGTACCGAGAGGAGGGACCCCCAGCCACTGCCACAGCCTTCCTGGGTGGGTGTGGCCTAAGCCCCGCACCTACTGGGGACTATGGCTTCCCAGCAGATGGCAAGCCATGCGTGGCAGGTGCACTGACAGCCATTGTGGCCGGTGAGGAGGAGCTCCGTGGCAGCTATAACTGGGACTACCTGCTGAGCTGGTGCCCTCAGTTCCAACCACTGGCCAGTGTCTTCACAGAGATCGCTCGGCTCAAGGACGAAGCTCGGCCATGTCCCCCTGCTCCCCGTATTGACCCACCACCCCTCATCACTGCCGTGGCCCACCCAGGAGCCAAGTCTGTGCCGCCCAAGCCTGCAAGCACAGCTGCAGCCCGGGCCATCTTCCCACCGACCTCTCACCGCTCCCCCATCAGCCATGAAGGCTCCCTGTCCTCTGCCGCCATGTCCCCCAGCTTCTCACCCTCGCTATCTCCTTTGGCTGCTCGCTCACCCGTTGTCTCACCATTTGGGGTGGCCCAGGGCCCCTCAGCCTCAGCCCTCAGCGCAGAGTCTGGCCTGGAGCCACCTGATGACACAGAGCTGCACATCTAGCTGTGGCCCAGGCTGGGCCCCGACCTGGGACGCAGTGTCCCCAATGCAGGCCCCACTCTGAGCCTGCCCTGGGCAGCCTTGGACCATGACTGGCCATGGGGAGGCCACCACCAAGCCCCAACTCTCCACCCCAAACTCCTCCAGTGGGGGCAGGTCCCACATTTCACCCCAGTCCCTCAGAGCCCTGGGACCAGAAGGTCTGTTGGTCACTGACCTGGGGCCAGGTCCAGTTGGGGAGAAATATGAAGGAGGCAGCAGCTCTGGGTTCTCAGTGAGGACTTCCTGCCTGCACCAGCACACTGAGATGGAGCAGAGACTTTATTTATTGGGGGGTAGGGGAATGAGGGAGGTACCTCCCAACTGTTAGGGCCCAGCTCCTTTGGGTTCCACTGACATCCCTGCCCCTGCCCAGAACAAGTGCCAATTCTCACTCTGGAGCCTTAATAAACTGCAGTTTGTATCCAGCCTACGGCTCTGTTCTGTGGGAGTGGCTGGAATTTGGGAATGGCTGTGGGAACCCGGCACCTAATTGTGGACACCTCAACAGACACAGCGGGCTGGGGAACATGGGAACATCTGGGTGGAGGTAGCCCTGGGGTCTTAGGAACCTACTCAGAGGCTGAGATCCCCGCTTTTTGGCCAATCTTTTCCCTCTAATGTGAGCAAGAGGCCAACAAGGGCTTAGCTATAGGTAAGACTAAGAGGCATTGGGTGAGTGCATGGGGGATGTAGGGCTCCAGGCCTGACATCTGAAGAGATGAGGATGTATACAAGAAGCCAAGTGAAGTGATTTTTTTTTTCCTTAGAACCACTGAATATCCACATTATAATAAAAGTTCACATTTGTTGAGTCTGCCCTGTCAGGCCCTCTGCTGGATGATTTGCTTGCTTTATTTCAGTATAAATTTTTGCTTCAAGTGTATGAAGCAGACCACTTTTATGTAATAGTCTCCGTATT